ACACTCGCTCGAATAAGTAGACATACATACATTCTATGTACCCCCAAACTTATACTAAAATACTACACAAACATATTTACTTGCGTTCTTCGTTAGTTTTTTTAGGCTAGAATAATAAAATAAAAATCAACAGAAAATACCTTTAAAGATAATAATTACGATTATAGGTATTATACTAAAACAAAGTAAAACATATTAATAAAAACAGATCTAAATGCTGTATGTATATTGTTAAATGTTTTTTTTTTTATTTCGCCAACTAAACAAGATATATAATAGATTTACAACATAAAAAAAACAATAATAAACTATCAATTTTTGTGTGTATCTGTGTGATTTGTATTTCTAAATGTCGATTATGTATACAAGCATATACATATGCATTTCTGCATCAAACTATTAATAACAAAAAAATTTATGTGGAGATTTAAATGCCATGCTACGCTTATGCAACGCATAATTATTTACAATACATATACAAACATGTATACACATACATACATATATAATTGAAAAGGTATAAAAGAAACGAAAAATAGCCATTGGAATGTATTGCATTTTGCCAGAGTAATTTTGCCAATTATTTTTTTTGTATCTATTAATTAATTATGTTGCGCAAACAAGGCGCATGCGTAAATAACAACAAAACAACGTTTACTAACAAAATGCATACTCGTATTTATATACACATAAATATACAAGTACATATATACATAAATAAATGAATGCCAATAATGCTAAAATGGAAATGTGAAAGTGTTTTATGAAATTTAATGTGAACATTCTCAAATACGAATAATTTTCTTTGTGCATTGCTATAAAAATAAAGAGAAAGGAATGAGAATACTGAGTTTTTTACAAATAACTAATTAACTGTTTTTATTGCTATTGCATGGATCGGGTAAAAGTATTAACAAATGATATGTGTGCATATTTTAAACTAAGATTTCGATACAGGGGTAAACAGCATGATGCAATAATAGAAGGTGTTATCGGCTGGCAGCTTCTCGCTCTAATTCCGCCATATTGACTGCCTTAGGTGAGACAGTGGTACTTCTTTAACAATTCTTTGCCTAATAATATAGTTCAATATTTTTTTTATTTTTTCTCAGTATACACATTTTTTTTCTTAAAAAGGTATTTTATCTTATATTATTTCATTTCATTACGAATATACTTAAAAAAAAAAAAAATCAAATTTTGTTTAGGAAAAAATGTGAAATTTTATATTTTTCCCCCAAATGGGGCTCTATTTCTTCCCGTTTTTCTTCTCATTCTACTGAGCTAAGGCAGTGTCAAATCGAGCGTTCACAATTGATACCACCTTGTATTATTGCATCATGGGTAAACAGCTACCTATTTTGTTACACATCGACTGGTTTAGGAACAACATATCGCTAGCGTAAGAGTGGAAATTTGCCACTTTTACAATTTTTACAGGAGACGGAAAAAAAATGTTTCATGTTTAAAGCAAAGCAAAACCACATACGAATCAGAAGAACTCAATATTTTTAAAAGTTTTGGTATTATTTTGGCCCAATCGGACTTTTAATGTCCCTTTTGGTCTTAGCAAATTTGCACTTCATTGAATATGAACGAGAAAACAATGCAACACCTAACGGCATTTTTAACATTTTTTTTTCTTGAAATTATGAGTTTTTACAGAAAGAGGACTTAGCAGCTTTTCACTCTAAGCTAGCGATATGTAAGTATGTACATACCTAGTTACATGCATACATACTATGTATGCATGTGCATTACGGTGGTAAGATTTTTCTAAATGGAAAAAAAGAAAAATACTGGTAAAATTTTTTATATTTCGAGCTGCCTCAAAACCCATGAAGTGTTCCATGTGCTTTATTAAGGGAAAATCACTTTTTCATAGAAATGGTATTTTGAAATAAACAATTAATTGGGTATTATTATTGGATGTCTACTGAAGAGAAATCGAGTTATCCGATCAAAAAGTATTTATTTTCAAGAATTCCTTACCGTTTCTACAAAAAAGTCAGCCTTATCATAAGTTTCATTTTCCCCGAACCGGTTCACTTTTCACTTTTGGTTTCCATGGTTTTACTATGGGCGAATGACAAATTTTCGGGTGAATTTTTATTCAGGCGAAACTCAGGATAAGGCTGAGTGTTTTCCCCATATAAAATACACGAACAACTTTATGGGCTTTGAGGCAGCTCTAGATATCATTAATGTTTTTACAAAAAAAAATACGGGTATTATTTTTTTTTAATTTAGAAAAATCTTAGAAGGTGAGAGCTTAGCATGTTGGACTTTTTTTCCCGCATCTGTTTTTGGACCACTTTATGTAACTACATACAATATATGCGAAATCTGGTGAAACGATCCTTTGGTGAAACGCCTTTGTAACTCAACTAAGGAGGCACCGCGGCAACTGCTCGTTAAGTGTGTGGCCGTATCGAGACGACAAGAGCAAAAAATATGAATAGTCTCATTGTGGCCACTTCCTACTTCAAAATCTCCTAAAAACCTTCTGAGAATTATAGGACTAGATGAGGCGTTGTGATGAGTAGAGGGAGCAACGGATCTGTTGAGTCGCAAAGCATAGACAAGTAGCAAACGCCGTTTTTGAAAAATGGCAGTTTTAAAAAACCGACCGCCAAAAGTAAAATTAAGTGAAACCCGGATAAACCGGTTTTTTTTCATATTATTCATCCAATACTGATCAATCAATAATGATTACCAGGGCCGAAATGTTTAAGCTTTTGCGTGGAATTGTTTATTTTGCTTATTCAGGGTTTCCAAGCTTAATTTTAACGATCATGCTTATTTCAATGTATAAAGCTAAGTACGGGCCCTTTAAGAAAACGGTCAAGAAATAAATTGCTATTATTTCCTGTGTGGAATAGTTCAACAAGTTTTGACATCCGATATCTTACAGCCTGCTGTCTCACTTTTTCCCACTTTTTTCACAAACAAACTTTAGCAAACCATAGAAAGTGAGTGTAGCAAATTTCTAAAGAATTTCGTAGTGCTTAAGAAAATTTTTCTTGAAATGTTTACAAATAATAACATAAAACCCGATTCGGTTTTTATTAACGCGTAACTTCAATTGCATTTCAGCTTGGATACAAAAATTTTAAACCAGTGGTTTTTGTTTTGCGAGCATATTTTCAAGTATTTTACTAATGTTTTAGTGGTTATTTAAGTGCCTAAAATGGATTTTTTTCTTGCTTATTTTCTTCGGCCCTAATAATGACCAAAAAACATAAAAAATTGGTACCAGTGAATTCAACTTTTTTTGAGGAAACAGCAAAACAAAACAAGTTCAAAGTATTCGGATTAAAAGTAGAACAGCAGAGACGATGGAGTTTTAATGAATTTGAATAACGCAATAACCAATGCTAGAAAATCTGTATTACCGCCTAAATATTTGTATTTCTTATTGTTTTTTAAATCATTTTGGAGTTTTCTGTCAGATACATTTTCACTGAAAGCAGTTATCCTATGACGTATACTGTCCTCAATAACTGATGTAGCATTACAAGGCGAATTTATATAAGGTGGTGTTGTTTCATCAGCTGTGAGTAGCGTTTGATTGTCAAAATTTTGTACTTCGTTAGCGAGTGAGCGAAAACGTGAGAGTGTTTGTATTTTCTGTCGCCCTTTTTCATTCGGGGAAGAATAGCTGAAATTTAACAATGGCCCGCTAAAAGCAAAAACAAAATACAAGTAATTGTTGTATTTGTTGAATCGATACCACCTTATATGTATTCGCCTTGTAGCATTACCAAGGCACATTAAACAGGTAGTATCAGTAGAGCAAAAACAACATTTGCGTGTATTTTGTTGTTGCTTCTGGTATCGAAAGTGTCAAAAACTGTTCTGAATTTTTTCTTCTAAATCAAAGCGTGCCGTGTGAAATACAAAAAATTATAAAAAATAAAAAATTGAAATTGGAAAAAATAAAAATTGATGCAACTTTCTTTCCTAGTAAATTTGTTTGCTTCTCGAAGCATTGATCCATCCTTTGCAAGGCCCAGTAATCAGCGGTCGTGCTGCCGAGTTGGGCGAACGTTCCAAAAGCTGCTATTCAATCGCTTGTTTTGTATGGAAAAAGGTTTCACATGCAAATGGATTTTAACAATTCAGAATTTTTGTGAGAAAAAATTAAAAATATTTGACATTTTCGAGACCAAATAATTTGAAAATAAATCAAATCAGCTGCTCTACTGATACTACCTGTTCAATGTACATTGAGCATTACTTATATTTTTTGGATTTTTTTTCGTTTTGAGTCAACCCGACAATTGTTTTCAACCAGGTTTTATTATGTAGCATTTATTAACTGGAGCAAGAGAATCGAGTTTCTTCAAAATTGCAACTTTCTCTGCACTTTGCACTAAAATTGCAAAAAATGGGCTCAACCGGTCTCTTGCAAATTTTATAAGCTTTGATTAAAAAATTCGAATGAATCAAATTGAGTGAAAAATTAAGGCTCCAGTGAATTAACAGTGAACCGAAAATACCAGTTTTTAATCACTGTTCAGCGTAGCCGCTGTTCGTGTATTCCATTACAGGAGAAGTCCCGAGCCAGAAGCAACGTCCTTTGCTCTTCTAAATTGAGCTTGAAAGATCATTTGCTTCCAAAAAAAATGTTGACCTCGACTATACCTACAAGAAAATATTTTTAAATATATAGACATATAGCTTTTGTAAACATAGTACTATTCATAGTACTATGAATATATGAGGCATAAGATGAATATTGATATGTACACACATAGAGTTAGGCATTTTCAAGACTCTTGATTTTTTGGGAGTAGTCCGAAAACCAGTCGATTGTTTCATTGTAATTTATATACATACTCACAAATGTATGTATACACATGTATTAATAACAAATATAAATACATACCTCAATTTGCATATAATTTTTTTAATTCTTAGTATTTCATTATGCCTCTTTCACATTTCTTTCATTAAAATACTTTTTGCTATCTTGTTTTTTTTCTCATCTTGAACAGGGCCCACCAGGTCTAGATGGCATGAAGGTAAATAAGCGGCTTGAGAGTTAATAGCTATTAAATAAATTTTTAATTAATTTTTAACATTTTCTTATAGGGCGCTCAAGGTGAAACTGGACATAAAGGTGAACGCGGCGACCCAGGATTGCCGGTAAGTACCAAACGGATTTAAAGAAAAATTAAATTATTTCTTTTATTTTCTTAATGGTGCTTGAACGTAAATTTTTGGTTTAAGATTTTCTTTCAAAAATGCATGAAAATGGGCATAAGTCAACTGCGTGCATATCCAAAGTTATACAATAAACATTTTATTATAGTACACACTACAAATACAAATCTATTTTTTCCCTTATTTTTCTTATTGCATCTGCACTCTATGCAACAACCAAATTCCGTACTCATATTGGAAAACCAAATAAATTAACTACATATATACATACATATCTATGTACATATGGATAATGAATCGTAAAACGCTGAAATTATATTTGCATTGCTATTGACTTCCCCTCCCACAAATGTGTCTCAATGTGTAACTGTGTTGGTATTTGTAACTATATACATGTGTGTTTTCATGCGATATCGCTGCTCTCTTTGGCATAATATGTACGTCGCCATCAAACAGGGCACCGATGGCATACCCGGTCAAGAGGGGCCGCGCGGTGAGAAGGGCTCACGTGGCGATGCTGGACCACCAGGAAAACGCGGACGCAAAGGGGATCGCGGTGACAAAGGCGAGCAGGGCGTGCCTGGACTAGATGCGCCCTGTCCGCTGGGCTCAGATGGCCTACCATTGCCGGGTTGTGGTTGGCGACCACCAAAGGTTAGCATGAAGTCGATAATATTTTGTTCATTTATATAAAAAGGAGCAGTTAATAGATCAAATAATTTGTGTTGGTGTTGGTTTTCAAAATTTTCGCGGGCTTTTTTTAGAATTAACAAAGCGCAATCGCTGCATGTTTAGCATACATATAGACCAACCGTAACACGTAACTCAATTATCAATTTTAGCATTTTCTTTGCACTTTTCAAATAATCATATAAATGCCTTGCGCACACGCACATGCACACTAATCAAAATCCTCTCTAGGAGCCTGTCATCTCCACGCCCATACACAAAGACTACCTACCCGATGTAACAGCGCCTGAAAGCAATACAAGCGACTATGAGGCGGAAGAGGAAGAAGATGAGCAGAATGAGGCTGAGGAGGAATACGATGAATATGCAGATAATTTGCACAATAATGATTGAATAAGTGTACAAACACTAAAGAATAGCAACGACGACAATGCAAAATCTCTGAAAGTTGCGAAACCAGCGAATTAGCAATCTGTAAAAAAAAATAAGCAGCGAAATTCGATTTTAAATCACCCGCTTTATATGTAATTATAATATGTAGTTATACCGAAAATAGTAATTCCTTTAATTTTGTCGTTAACCACATTTTCTTTCACTTAAAGAGTTTATACTTTTTAATTATTTATTGTATTTTTAATTTTACTAAATAAAAACTTAATATAAGCGCTTAGTTAAAATAATATTTTGTAAGACTTAACATTTCTTGTTGGATTATGGTTTAAATTAACGCACTTAACAAATCAAACTGACTCTGCAAAAGCAGTTCACTGTACCAACTGTACAGCTTACAGCACTATCTTCAAATTTTTGGTTGTGGATTTACAAAACATTCAAAAAAGTAATTTCATTTTGCGTTACTTAATTTATGCCGGTTGAAATCAAAGCAAAATTATGTTTTCATGGAACTTTGTTTAACTTTTACTTATTTACTTATTTAATCTTTTTTTTTTTTACTTTGTTTTTTTCTACATTTTTGTTATATTTACTTGATTTCATTTATTTTATGATGGTAATTTACTTCCAAAATACAACGCTTTGATTTCAATCTAATACCATATAGATAACAGAGTTGTTTTCTGTTCTTAAAAATTAATCTAATTTTTTTAATTTTGCAGGAAAATTGGCAGCAGTGGTTAAAGGAAGAACTAAATTCCATACAGAGGCCTGCACGAAATTAAAATTAGTCCAGCAGCATTTTGTATCAGATTCTTCACAAATTGTACTACTTCAAACTGCAACTAATTTCAATATACATACCTACATACTTCATCCGAAGTATAAAACGAAATCGAAACGTTGTCTAAATACGTATAAAAAATAGTGCAGCATTAAACCCAGATGAATCTCTAAATCGACCTACCTGATCGCTATGCTCAATTTATTAGACTTAATGACAAATGAAGGGCTTAGAATCAAAAGGAGTTAAGTAGATCTGACATTTTTTTTTAGATAATTAAGGTTAAAGTTGATTACTTATTGTAAATTCTGGGTAAATACATTTGAAATGATTTTTGCCTAAATGAATGCAGGTTAATTAACTTATTCAAAGAATGTTTACTCTTTGTCACCAAATAAACACTATATTTAACTATACAAATATGGGTATAACTTATATTTTCAAAAAATGTCACTTAGACCCTTATGATTCTAACCCCTTCAAATTAAATACAGTTATCAAAAACAACGAAATACGACTAATTTTAAATGCCATGGAAAGTTTATATAGACATATGTATGTATGTATTTACATATAAGCCTTTACAAAATTAATATACATAGCAATACAATGGTGCTGCAATCAGTTAACACAAGCACATATACATATGTAGCATAAAATAAATATTTGGTATTTACTCAATTTTGTGTATTGGTACAGACCAATAATCTCAAATGTTAGCAATAATAATAATAATTACTTATATCTGTGCAAATGTATGCGCTGGTTAGTATCCTCATTCATTACCGTTTTGTGGTAACATTTATATAATAATTACGAATTTTTGTTTATAAGCGACGATAAAACTGATGTAAAATCGTATAATAGTTACCATTTTGCAAACCAAACTGACTAGTAATGAAACAATAAACTAAGTAAATTATTTAAATATGCAGTTATAAATATGTGTACTTTATTTTATACGAAAATAATGGGAATTAAATATAGACAAAATACTAATCATGTATGTATCTAAAATACTACTTTTATTGTTCGTAGTATTTAGATTTTTGGACAATACTTTTATAAATAGATTTTAAATATACATTCAATTAATAAAAATTAAATTTATTTAACAACACAACCAAAATGGTAGCGTTTTGATATTTTCCAAAAGTATTTCATTTTGTATAGGGGAGCAAAAAAAATTTTCTGCGTGTTTGGCTCTTTAAAAAAAACTTAACCTTAACCGACTCCAATCGGGACCAAATTTATTGGCAGGGGTACCCCTGATTCTAAATCTGAAGGCCGACATATAGTTTTTAAGCAATTTGCATTTAAAGTTGCAAAAAATACCAAATTCAACCTCACTTTTTCCTTTGTACACCAATTGAACTGACATGTCGATGCTGCCATATATAACAAAAAAATGCCGAAAAACACTAGACGGAAGCAATAATAAAATACACATAATGATCGCGCGATTTAAAATAAAATGTAAATTATTTATGGAAGTATCGATTTTACAATAAAAAGCCAACCCAAAAAAAGTATCGATGCCTCAAAAATATCGGACCTAAAGTATCGATACCAACTCCAATCGGTACTCATTGTGTAATCCGCATTAAGTCAAATTATTTATTTTTTAATCACAAGTTAATCATCCTCTGCGAATCCTAAACTCCGAATAATAAAAATTTAATTATTGTAGGAACTGTAAATAAATAAAACTCCGTTAGATAGCAGAACTATATAATTAATGGTACAGATACAGATACATATACAGTTACCAGTTCATCTTATTTAAGAAAACATTTATTAATAAACTATTTCAGGGAAAAATTCTTCTTTTGTTGCATTTCCCAAGAATAGAAGTTTTTCAAATATTTGCCAGTCAACCGATTTCTTGACGTGGTTATTGTTACGCGTGCTTTTGAAAACAATCGTTCGCAAGGAACCGATCTTGCAACTATATGTAAATATGATCGTGGTTGTTTATAACTACAACAATGGAAACGCAGTTTTCAGCTCCTCACAGAAGAGATACATCCATTAAAATGTATACTTAAATGATCAGAACGTCGAGCTGAGTCGATTTAGCCATGTCCATCTGTCCGTCTGTCTGTCTGTCCGTCTGTTTGTATGGAATCTAGTCTCTCAGTTTTCGAGATATCCGGATGAAATTTGGCATGTGGATGTATTTTTAAAATGTATTAATCATTTGTCGGAACCGGAAGAATCGGACCACTATAACATATAGCTCCCATACAACTAATTGTTCAGATATGAGATTTTTCGTTATAACTTCTCCATTTATGCAGCTAGGAACATGAAATTTTGCAATACGTTCACCAATTATCAAGAGAAAACGTAGAGTGAAAATTACAAAGATTGGGTCACTATAACCTATAGCTCCCATACAACTGATTGTTCAGATATAAGATTTTTCGTTATAACTCCTCCATTTAAGTAGCTAGGAACATGAAATTTCGCACTATTGTTACTCATTATCAAAAGAAAACTTTGAGTAAAAATGGCGAAGATCGGGTTCCTATAACCTATAGCCTCCATACAACTGATTGTTCAGATATTAGATTTTTTGCGATAACTTCTCCATTTATGCAGCTACGCCCATGAAGTTTTGCAGTACTTGCACCGGCACTATAACCTATAGCTCCCATACAACTGATTGTTCAGATATAAAATTTTTCGTTATAACTCCTCCATTCATATAGCTGGGAACATGAAATTCCGCACTGTTTTCAATAATTATCAACAGAAAACTTACAGTGTAAATTAAAAAGATCGAGTAACTATAACCTATAGCTCCCATACAACTGATTGTTCAGATATGAGATTTTTCGTTATAATTCATCCATTTATGTAGCTAGGACCATGAAAATTCGCGCCGTTTTCACTCATTGTTAACAGAATACTCATAGTGAAAATAACAAGGATCGGGTCACTATAACATATATCTCCCATACAAATGATTGTTCCGTTATGAGAATTTTCGTTATAAGTCCTCCATTTATGCAGCTGGGAACATGACATTTCGCAATATTTCCACCCATTATCAAAAAAATACTTACAGTGAAAATGGCGAAGATCGGGTCGCTATAACCTATAGCCTCCATAGAACTGATTGTTCAGATTCGAGATTCTTTGTTATAACTTCTCCATATATGCAGCTGGAAACATGAAATTTCGCAATATTTTCACTAATTATTAACAGAAAGTTTACAGTAAAATTAACAAAAATTGGGTCACCTATTTATATCTTCCATACAACTGAGTATTCAGATATGGGGTTTTACTGTAAAGCTCCTTTATTTGGACTGCTAAAACANAATATTTTCACTAATTATTAACAGAAAGTTTACAGTAAAATTAACAAAAACAGATCAAATTAAAACAGATCAATTTCGTAAGCTATTGTATAAATAAAATTCCTTAATGAAGGAGTCTAAACCCATTAAATTGTGTTACCGGGTTACATACCGATCACACAGTAGTGAAAATCATTCAGGTTGGTGCTATATAAGGTATATATTCCATACCTCTGATTGTTTAGATATGGTTTTTCATATATGTATCTCCTCAATTTAGGTATTCTTTAAATAAAATAAAAAGTAAAATTTTCAGCTGTTCATGAAAGGTATGAAGCCTTCGGCATAGTTTGCTTGTTTTTTTTTTTTAAGTTAACAAATTAGAATAAGGCAAGGTTTATATGTTCCAACTATTTAGCCAATATGATAATGGACGCCAAGCAAGCAAAAATCCAGTTTTTGACGTTGGATAAATAAAACAAAGCCAAACATATCGTCGCCTGGGTAAAAGATTGTCGTATGTTAATTTCGGCAGGTTGTGGGAAATCGCGATTGAAAGACCTTATTTCCAAATATATAACTGCATCTAGAACTAAAAATCGTCAAAATTGCACTTACGACAATCTTTTACCNTGGGAAATCGCGATTGAAAGACCTTATTTCCAAATATATAACTGCATCTACCAATATATATATCTGCAGGTGACGATATGTATATGTAAGTGGGAAATTTCGTAATACTTTTTAATAATTTTCTTCATAAAAACTATGAAAAAATTAACTTCTCTTCCGTGGATGTTTAAACACGCGGAATAGATGTAAGGATACAGCTATAAGAGCCGCCGCTCCACACAGACTTTATCGGCCGTCTATTTAAATAGTTGGGGCTCGCTTGAAATATGTACATGAAGATCTAAGGAGATGCGGATACTACACCAACTTAATCGCTTCGACTAATTAGTTGTGTAGCAATGGAAAGACTCGCAAGCCCAACTAAATACTACAACTTGTATGGAACCAACAGAAAGTGAACGGCGTGCGTCATGATTCATTATTGAATCATGGGCGTGCGTATGAAACTAACTCAATTTCCAATTTTTGTGCTGCGTGACATTTTTATTTGACGTTTCGCTCAATGAAATCAAATGCAAACGCATTCAAGCCAAATCCGGGTAACGCAAAAGAAAACAAATTCGACTGCTTGCGTACCCAAACACAAGCCGCGAATATGAGGCGATCATTTTTGCTGATTTCTTAATTGTATGAGGTAAATTCATAAAAAAATAATATAAATAATTTTTGTCCCGAAAATTTATGTATTTCAAATACTTTCATATGTACAGGCATACCCTTCATCATATCGAGCCCTAACCGCCAAAATAACGTAACCGACATTTTTTTCAAAATTTTATTTTTGATGCAGAAATGCGTATAGATGCTCTAGGAATATTTCTGCATCAAAAAGAAAATATTGAAAAAAATGTCCATACGTTGTTTTGACGATTAGGGCTCGATATGTACTACATAGAAAGGCCTCACCTGCTATTTTTCATTTTTAACAGAAGCAAAAATCCAAGCCTCAAGCTCATGCAGTATATCGATGGTTGAATGGAAGATCGACCTATCTCGGCAGCCAGTTCGAAAACGTCCCATCTCAGAAAAATTTTCAACAACGCCCTATTTCAGAATATGGTTGAAGAACCGTAGTACCTTAGAATTTTATTGAAGAATGCCCTATCTCAGCTGCCGATTCAAAAACGGCCCATCTTATTTCAATATATATTCATTTGAGATAGGTTGTTCTTCAACCAAATTCGGACATGGTGTGTTTTTCAATTAAATTNTCTCAGAAAAATTTTCAACAACGCCCTATTTCAGAATATGGTTGAAGAACCGTAGTACCTTAGAATTTTATTGAAGAATGCCCTATCTCAGCTGCCGATTCAAAAACGGCCCATCTTATTTCAATATATANTCTCAGAAAAATTTTCAACAACGCCCTATTTCAGAATATGGTTGAAGAACGCAGTACCTTAGAATTTTATTGAAGAATGCCCTATCTCAGCTGCCGATTCAAAAACGGCCCATCTTATTTCAATATATTTTCATTTGAGATAGGTTGTTCTTCAACCAAATTCGGACATGGTGTGTTTTTCAATTAAATTCTGAAATAGGGCGTTTTTCAATCAAAATCTGAAGTAGGGCGTTTTTGAACAATTTTCTAAGATAGGGCGTTTTCGAACTGGCTGACGAGATAGGTCGATGTTCCAATCAGTTGTTGTTTTTGTAGCAGCATACAAGTTCCCCAAAGAGTTTTTGGGGAGTGCTGCTGAAGTGACAGTCCTTGGCCAAATAAAACTCTGGGTCGTTCCGGTTACGTAGACCCAACTGTCGTGGCTTCTTAGAAAGTAGNGACAGTCCTTGGCCAAATAAAAATCTGGGTCGTTCCGGTTACGTAGACCCAACTGTCGTGGCTTCTTAGAAAGTAGCATACATCGTTGAGTATGGCTATACAAAGAGATATTTTTAAGTATTTTTAAATTACTTAAAAATGCAAAAAATGTATTGCGAAAATAGTGTCAGTTACGTTTACATACTTGGTTTATACCAATAGCTAGTGATAGTGCAAAATTGTTCATTACTACTGAACAAAAATTAGGCACATTTTTTCAAAATACGGGATTTATTGGCACCTTCAAAACACCACTAAAAGCACTATGAAAGTGCATTTGGCTTCTCCAGGGGAAGTCTGCATATCAGGCGGGTGGCTTATATAGTTTAAAATTGATTTTTTTTTAAATACTCTAACTTCCGAAACGTCCGTTGCGCTGCATTTGTAAAAAGCCAACATTTTCTCAAATTAGCTGGTAAATGAAGTGCATACAAAANACTATGAAAGTGCATTTGGCTTCTCCAGGGGAAGTCTGCATATCAGGCGGATGGCTTATATAGTTTAAAATTGATTTTTTTTAAATACTCTAACTTCCGAAACGTCCGTTGCGCTGCATTTGTAAAAAGCCACATTTTCTCAAATTAGCTGGTAAATGAAGTGCATACAAACAAAATGTAGTACTAACCTCTGATTAACGTATGTATCTACTACTCTTACATAGTGGTACCTACGTTTTACCAAAATTAGAAAATTGCTTTACGTTTTCATGGGAACGCGTCACATTCTCTCAGTCTGTGCTCTCTTATAAAGAATCTCGATCCTTTTTTAGATTATTTAGGTGTTCACGCATTATCTTTTATACAGCACTGCTATTTCAGTATATCGCTTGGAAATTTTATAATAAATATTCACAATGTTTCTATATGCTTTCGTGGATGGAAATGCAGGTTTTTTACTTGACAACGATCGATGCTTTAAATATGTTTCGAAGACGACGTTTCCAAATATGTATGTATGTGTATACATAAATTAATCATCGCATTTACATTAGCTTTCGCATGTGTGTTCTTAGACCACTTTATTCCTTAAGCAATTTAAGATGTTTAACAAATTTGTGAACATTGTCTTTAATATAGGGTTTTATCGCTATGCACGTTGGAATATTTTCCGGTTGTTCAATCCACATTTTATGTTTAACATCATTTGCCTTTAATTTTTCAGCCAGTTTGATCAGTGCTCCTTCATCTTTAGCCTGCAGTTAGTGTAATATTAATGGTAAAGGGAAAATATTAGGTAATAATTTATATTAATAAATACATATATTGTTTTTATGGAATTTGGGCTCACCTCTAATACCACTTTGTGCATATTGTCCAAGTCACTTACATAGGCCTTTGTGTCGTCATCGTCGGCATACAAATGCATGACGGCAGCTAAAAGTATATTTCTGTGTTCGTATGGAATAGTAGCTTATGTCGGAAAGCTGGCTTTAGTGTAATGCGGCATTCCCTTTATTCTTTAAACGAAAATGAATTTTTTGGTGAGACATAATAAGAATATTTTATTTATTTGACAAAAGTTCTTCAACGGCTCGGCGCCAGTGAGACATTCGCAATCATATGCTGCGAACGCCACATTCTACTAAAGCCAGCCTTTCGACATAAGCTACTATTCCATACGAACACAGATTTTAACAATTGTAAGTCAATCAAGTTCAAAAGAAAGAACTGGAGGAGCCTGCGACTGAAAGTTAAATTCGACCGTCCAGCCATGAGGGAGGAATTGCCGCGCTCCATGCTTACCTGTCGCATGACAACACTGGGCTATCACTGCACCTAATGGCCACGCTAGTGTAGATCTTAAATCACTGCGCACAATTATATATTGGACAATATTCGACATATTTAGTTATATTTATTGATGTCTATTTATTAAATGCACATGAAAGTCTTAAAATGCAAAACAATTGTTAAAACCCTTTGTTTACATTTTGCCGGCTGTCAAAATCTGCTGTAGTAATATCGTAAACTTGGTCGTAAACGATATTCTAACATTCAGCTGCGGTAATGCCATACCCATTGAATTGAATAGAGGAATTTCAGATGAAAGGTTATGCTCCGTGTATACGATGTGCAAAGTTGGTGCAAAATAAATTGATTATGGCACAATCCCACTGAGTTTGAAATATATTGAAAAATGGGGGTGGTCCGCCATTTTTCCGTCCGGAATTATCGGAAATTTAAAATGTATGTGTTTCGAAAACTTCCGAAGCGATCTTCAAATACATAATTGGTGTCAGTGCAAGGGTAAATGAAATTTATGTCTTAACATGCATATTTATATCTTTTATATGCTACTATTTCCTAATAACACTCCATGTTTTACTAAAAAAGGTGTACAACGATTGCAGAACGTTCGGTCAACCCCCGTCAAATTTGGTTTGTAGATAAACCGACTTCGGCGTTGCGCCATATCTACACTGTCTACAAAAATTACACCACTTTGTCTCCAAACCAAATTTACAAGGGATAAAATGCCTTTAATTTGACATAAGAATAGTTACAAAAAATATTTCAAATCGTATTATGTTTGCATAAAGTGGCAACCACCTACATTTTCTCTCTAAAAGCCAGATTATGGAAACTTAACTTAACGTAGAACTTAGAGATTCAAAATTAAACAGATTTCGACGTGGCATTAAGTTGCGTTAAGTTTCGGCTGTTCAACTATAATAGCCTATGAATACTTATCGTTGCATGAGAGTTGTCACATAAGAATCTGTTGAATGAATAAGAATAGTTCCAAAAAATATTTTATATCGTATTATGTTTGCATAAAGTGGCAACCCCCTACATTTTCTCTCTAAAAGCCAGATTATGGAAACTTAACTTAACTTAACGGAACGTAGAACTTAGAGACTCAAAATGAAACAGATTTCGACGTAGCATTAAGTTACGTTAAGTTTCGGCTGTTCAATTATAATAGCCTATGAATACTTATCGTTGCATGAGAGTTGTCACATAAGAATCTGTTGAATGAACTTTGCGTTGGCAACACCCATTTAAAAGAAATTTTTAAGTGAGAGCCGTAAGATTCGTGAAGTAATATTATTATTACATACAGCCCACTCCCAGGCAGTTTGTTCTCCGGGAATTTGTTTCTCCCGCTGTTCTCGAGCTGTCTGATACTTTTTTGACAGCTCAACTCCGATATTTAATATAAAAATTCCACAGGGAATTTTTATTCATGATAGGAGGAAAGGGAAAAGAGAGAAAACTCCCAGGGAGTTCCTGTTCAGAATCGGCCTGATATTGTCAATACGATAGGCTTGATGCCCTTTTGAAAATGAAATGTTACGACAGCAGTTGCTTACATCAAAAAATGGGACAAAGTTAAAACAAAAATTTTAAAGGTGTTAAGACATATTTACCAGAAGAGTAAGACGTGGGGTAACAAAAAATGCAATTATAATAGCTTTTTATTAATTTACTTTGCCTTAAATGTCAATTTCAATATAATAGAACACAATTATTTTTTTTACTGCATTATGTTTGTTCCACACGAGCCCGCGGGTACCCGCTTGTGCCCAAAACAGCCCAGAAAGCATTCCGCACGCTAGAAAAATGGATAATAGAGAGCGAATACGTTCCACCTTTGGATCGTAAATGTCTTCTTCTTTGAGCACGAAACAGC